GGGGCGGGGACACATTAACACGGGGCGCCGAAGGTAATGGCACACGGCGCGCAGGTCATTGTGAGCTGTGCGCCTCGCAGTGCGGTGCGCGGCGCGGTGCCGCCTGCCTGCGGTGCGGAGGGGTTTTCACCTGACACTCTCTGCTCGCGTCTTGTCCGCAGGGCCAGGTGACGGACCTCATGTCCATGTGGGCGCTCATGCGCTCCAACGACTTCAAGAACGACCCGCTGTCCGTGTGCAACTGCACGCCCTCGCACAACGGCGAGAACGCCATCGCGGCGCGCAGCGACCTCAACCCGGCGGGCGGCCGGTACCCGTGGGGCGCGCTGGGCCACCGCAACCACGGCGCCACCGACACCAAGATCACCAGCTGGGAGCTGGCGCGCGACCTCATGTTCCTGGGCGAGTCGGGCCCGCCGCACTACTCCGACTCGTGCCCGCCGTTCAGCTGGTCGACGGCCGACTTCGCCGCCACCACGCCGCACGTCGGCCTGCCCGACAAGTGGACCTTCCCGCCCGTCGTGCACCGCTGGGCCTGGGGCATGAACCAGTTCTAGGCGCCGCCGGCGCTCGCACTCGAACCGTACCGTAACAGCACATTCTGCCGGCTTCGGCCGGGGCTTCTCCAACCGGCGGCGCGCGCTGACCGCTGACGTCGCTGACCTCGCCGCCCGAACTCTACCCGAGCCGGTCGCGTCACCGTCGCGTCGCCGGGTCACCGCCTCGCCAGCTCAGCCCGCTCTCCACTCAGCCCGCCCAGGCTCAGTCGACTGGGCCGGGCCGGCAGCATGGCGGACCCGCCGGACCCACAGCAGCGGCCGCTCCTCAACCCGCGGCCCGTCGACTTCGCCAGCGATAACCTCGCGCTGTCACCCTCGTCGTCGTCGTCGTCGACGGTGGCGTCCTCGACGACGTCCTCGTCGACGAGCGCGCTCAGCAGCTGTACGGCGGACACCGTGCTCGCGCTGGGGGACGGCGTGGACGGCGACTCGTTCTCGGTGTGCCCCATGAAGACGGTCCCGGTGTCGTCGCTGCTCATGCCGTCGCCCTGCTTCCTCGTGGCGCTGCTCCTGCTGCCGCCCGTGCTCGGCTTCTTCCTCTACCTGTTCGTGGAGTTCTTCGTGCCCGTGCTCGTGCAGATCCTCATGGACATGTGATGTGGGCGGCCGGGCGGTGCGACCGGGACCGGCCCGTGCGGGCATACCCCGCGAGCCCAGGGACCCCGCCGCGGTGTGTATACGTCTAGTCTCTCTGCGCTGCGGAGTCTAGTCTGACTGAACCTGCTGGGAGGGTACGTTCCTTTGTCGACTGAATGAAAGTTTTGAGGCTGTGGATCCGACTGATTACAGAAGCAAATATTTTAGAGTAACTTATTACGATTGTTTTTGTGATTGAATTTGTCAATTTTTATCACTTATTTATTAAGTTTATAGCTAGGAAGTTTTGAGTTTATCGTCTGCCCGGTACCATTGTGATACTTTTTCCTGGTCATGTAAAGAGAAATGTGTATTAATTAAACATATTATTACTACGGTTCGTTAACAATGTCTTTTCGTGTATTTACACTCCCTGCCCTCTTGGACAGCTGTTTAAGTTGACCCAAGAGTTGACTATACAGGAACCGTTTTAGGCCCTTCTCAGGGCTCTGTAACTTCTGACTTCAGGCGTTAAAGTTATAACTTCAAACTTTTATCGGGGACCTCTTGGAAGGCAACAAATCGGACTCTTTAAAACTGTCTGTACCGTGTGTCAGAGCTACGACACAACAGTGTTGCGGGTTTGCATACCCTAGGGACCATGGCGCTTTACGGATAGAGCGAGTAGGCCCACACACACGGTATGCAATAAGGCCTGAGTAATGTGGAGTCTTTTTGAAAATTAAGAACTTTAACTTTTTCTTGTTTGTTACATGTTTTTTTTTCTTTTTGTTACGATGAGGTTACGTTAGGTAACTAACATTCATTTACGTTATAAGTTGCGGGTACGTTTGGGCTACGAACGGGGGGAGGACACTATTTGCGACCACAACGGCTCAAATATTTCAAAATCGATGTTCGCTTTACGGCCGAGCATTCTGCTCATTGAAGGAGTAGATAAAATACACCTCCATATTTTGATAAGGTTTTCACCGGTGCTGCTTCACGATGCCGCATATGTTCAACTTATTGTTTGGTGACAAGAATTATTTTGGGTCGCACGGCTTTATAGGCCAAGTGCGAGTTGACCTCCCCAAAGGGATAGAGAGACAACATATTCACAGGCGGGGCCTCCGCCCTCCGCTTTCGTCACGCTCTCACGCAGCCGCGCCCCTCGCGGTGCAGCTGCTCGCGACGCGCTCCCGCCGCACATTGCTTTGTACTTTGTATTCACGGCCTAATGTATCACCCGGAGCACATTTGGGGAGCCCTGCGCCCCCTGCACCGCTGCAGATGCGAGGACAATAATTTTAGCCCGTGTTATGTCTCGCGTCGCCGCACAATTAGAATATCATTTAAATGAAATTTACGACTGTCGTGCAGTGACTGTGGCGAGAGAAGGGGGAGGAGGGCGCCAGTGGCGCCAAGTGAAGACATTCTCAAACCATCGAGGAGGGTAAGTTGGCGAATTGTTTGATTTAATGGACACTGACAAAGTTTTCTTTTCTATGAGATTTATTATTCTTTCATATCTCCTGCTTCTGCCCACCGTACAGTCTTGTCCCCGCAATAGGGAAACGCCCTGTAGGGAAGTCCAATAAAAATAACAACAAATTATTATAATTCGAGAAATTTCTTCTGCGAGATCTACAGCAGTACTTATTGAGCCACTTCTTTATTACAACGACAGCGTAGTAAATTACAGTTAAATCTTCACAATATACAAATATATTTACATTTCGAAACAAAGGTCCTTCTATTATTCTTGACTTAGAATTTACATAATTTAAAAATTGCGATTTCGTCAAATAGGTTATCTACATTACTTTTCGGTCTAACATATCCACGAAAAAACAGTTTGAAGTGTTATCTGTACTTAGTATCCAGATTGGAATATTAAAATTTTATTATTCTTTCTTTGAAAACCAGAAAGTTATCTTCGTCATCTTACCAAAGTTACAACTGTACAATCAGAATAGCTTCGGAAATATAAAAGCAAAAGAGCGAAAAACACACGAACCGTAGACATATATATTATGTCTCAAACACTGTGCTACAAACAGGAAATAAATTGCGACTTTTCAACCGTCCACTCCAATAAGAACTAGTTACACACTTCTACGCCCACACTAATTATGCACGTAGAAGAGTGTCACTGCTTTCTTTTATAGTGACCCCTTTCGAACCTTGATGTCATTTACCAAACATAAAAGTTCTCTTTTCAAATAACTTAAAAGCAGCGTCGTGTAACAAAACTTGGAATAAAAGTACTATAAAATAAAAAACGACACAAAACCATTACTAGTGTAACCGCTCCATTTAAGTCTACACCAGCACATTTCATCCCAATCACTTTTCTGTCATCGACAGACAATGTTCCAATTTAATCCAGTCGGTGTCACTCGTTCAGTGTTAATTAACTTGTTTATCATCTACAATTTACACCACAGTGTTCACAGCATCACACACGTCACAGCTCACAGGTCAGTCTGCGCTCGATAGGACTTCAGAGCACAAGACGACCAGATCCTCAGTTGCAGGTGCGCCACAAGGCTCAGCCCCAGTGCAGAGGTGGCTGACGTACCTCACTGATAGTCCTCGTGGAAGGCACGACTTTGTTGCACAGTTTCAAAAGCTTGAGACGCGCCAGCGTCAAATGGGTCAGCTTTAGGTGCGCCAGTTGCGCGCGCAGTTCAGTACGAGCGCTCAGTCGGCGCGCTACCGTCGAAACACTAGGACGGCGCCGAAAAACGACACCAGGGAAGTCCGGGACGTGAGGAACTGCAGTGGGAACAGCGACAGACCTGCAACAGGCAACAGAAAAATATTTCAGACCCACATCGTTTAACGCTCTCACTTCATTTCTTTCTATCCACTCAATCATTGGGCACTACCGCTCCACACTGCAGCTCGACACTATTTTTTGTTTTCGAAGCATAAACGCAGTGAAATAAAAACACACGAACACCTTAAGCAGGAAACTATGGGTGGCGTGGCAATGCGAAATGTCGATGTTAACTTACGCAGCCATCCGTCTCTTTCATTCTTCTCACTCTCTCTCAGGCAAAGAGCCACCAAGAGAAAATGAAGCGTTCAATGATGTTGGGAGGAACCACCGAGAGCGAGCGAGCGAGCGAGCGAGCGAGAGAGAGAGAGAGAGAGAGAGAGAGAAGGAGAGAGAGAGAGAGAGAGAGAGAGAGAGAGAGAGAGACCGCGGCGACGGCGAATCACCTAAACGAGCATCGACAATTCAAAAGGCCATATCGTAAAGGATACTC